TGTAACTGTAAGACTTTCTTCAGGTGAGAAAGATAGTGTTAAAATACTATGAACATTTCACCCCCTAAATAAACCAACATCATCTGTTAGTTACTAGTTAATTCATTAAAAATATATTAAAAAAATGCTTCATGCACTTTAGTAAAAAGCGATAGTAACATATCATGTGAAATGGCAAGTCTAGCACTCTTGTAGAGCACTCGACATGTTAGCAGTTAGCTACCTATGTCACGCAATTGAACTCTACTATGTACTTTATGAATTTTATCTTTGTACCACGAATAAGCATCAATTTATTAACAGTTAAATATTAGCTAACATTTAAAAATATACATAAGTTTTTTTTCCATATCATGAAATGCAGTAGGTAAAGCTTATAATCGTATCAAAATAATTAAACATTAAAGACGAATTCGTAGACATCAATGATCTGTTCGTTCTTCGTCTTTGTAATGGATTAAAAAAGGTTAAACAGAACGAATTAGTAAAAGCTTTCAATCTACTTTGTTTACCCGTTGGTGTACATTACATTCTAGGATCTAGACAAAGACCTTACGTATTAGCGCCTGGAGGATTCAATGTACCTCTGACGTCACCAAGACTCGTCTAGACTATATCGGAAGGTAAAGGATATTGCACCTTATTACGCTAATTGAATATGATAAATAGAAGACTTGGGGTATAGCTATATATTATCTTTTCAGTTCTTTTGTTTAGTCTACAAAGTTTGAATCTAAATGTTTTAATACGCGGTTTCACTTTCCATTGACTGTGGCACAAAGGATTTACTGATTCTGATTGGAATCGCGTCTGCGGTTGCCTTAAGGTCTTTATCAAAAATATTACTGTACAAACTTTATGAAATAACGTAAGGTAAAAACGTAGCTACGTAGTAGGTGTATACTTACTAAATATGAATTATTTATGAACCGATCTAGTACGTACGTATTTATTTATACATAAATAGCTTAAGAATATCTTAACCTCAATATAACCTGTAAAATAATAAAAGAAAAAAGTATCAATAATTTAAAAAAATGTTCTCGTGTTATGTTAATTTTTACTTTTTTATTAGATATAAAATTTTCTTACTTAAAATGTGGCCTATTTTGGAGTAAGTGGCAAGGTTCGTGATATCACAGGAAGGTTTTAATATTATCCGGCCGTGAGTAGGCTTAGGTGTCAGGAGATTTCATAAATTGAAAGCGAGGCCAACGCCCTCGCACCCTTTACCTTTCTTAGGCGGTTACCAGACGAAATGATATTAGTTACAGCAACTGTTAAATATTTAATCTTCTTATAAAATTGCCAACTTGTTAGGTAGCTTTTATTTTATGAAGATTTGCAAAGGGTACATAGAACTACGATAGTCATCGATTGCAGCAACTGAAAACAGTTACCAATAGCCAGAATTCGCAACTCGTGTTGTTAGCAGCTTAATGTTTCTAGCCAGAATTGAAAACTTTTGATAGCAGCTCAATTGCAACAACAGTTGTTCCGTCTGTAAACCGCCTTAACCTCTCCGAGAGTCTGCCGCGCTATCTTTTATCCTCCGTTTCACGGAACTTTTATCGTCAGTATTGTAAGAAATAACTTCAGTGTATACTGAATTTGATTATGCTGGAAATATATTAATTGCAATTTTTATCATAAAGGTTTCATCTTACTAATATAATAAATTGGAATGTTTAGATGGATGGATGGATGGATCTCGCCAGAATTTGTTATGGATGTAGAAAATAGTGTAAAAGAACACGATACGTTTATATATAAATATATAATTATTTGTGTGAATATTTTATCTGTACACTTTTATTGGCGAGTATTTTCTTACTAAAGTTTAATTTGAACTCCTCTAATCAAATCAAGAACTGTAAAGGCGTTTAAAACTCAAATTCATTGTTTATTACACAACGTGGGCTATAATTAAAATAAATTTATGTCAAATTGCGGTTGTACGTAATTTGTTTAGGCGAGACAAACAAACGCGTTACATTTAATTTAATTACACGTTTTCAAACGAATTCATTAAAACACGAATAGAGCGAGTTTGTGTTGATTTTCACGTAAAAGAATGCTTAATGCTACAGAGTGGAGGCGACCGTGAATATACGCACAACGTGTTACAACCCCCTAAATGTGGGTGGGGGGGATCAACACCCACAATTAATATGTATTCGTTACTTAATAATGTCGACGATCACTTGTGCCTGTTCCTAAATTAAAATTCTGAGCTGCCTTAATTATCTTTTGAGAACCTCGCTCAGTCTTTGTTAATTTTTATCTAATATTCGTCTTCATTAAATATTATAATTCTACAGCTTAAAATTTGAGTGCTCTTTAAATAAAGTAAATTTAAATGTTATTTCAAAGATTCTCCTTTTAACATAATACCATCACATTTACGGCTAATCATAAAGACAGTGTTGATCGGAAAAATGTCTGAAATTCCAAGAAAACTTGATTTGCTAACAATGATTTTGCTACCAAGTTTGTAAGAAGAAAAATTGAGGTTATAAGTATGTGAGAAAATGGCAAGAGTTACATCATATCACTTGTAACGGTGTCATAGCAAGAACATGTCATAGCATTAACGATCCAGTTTTTTTTAGAAATAAAAACGACCATGACTTAATTCAAATAGATAGAACTTTATACTTGGTTTTAAGAGGCAAAAATGTGCGTTAACTTTAACCACGCTATAGCTTACGTAGCACTTTTGTGGTTACTACTACGAGATTAGAATATGAGAATTGTTATTTTTAACATTTTCCCAATATTTATATGAAACAAGCTGTCACGAAAGTAAAAAAAAATTAGTAGTCTATGTGTTTTTCCGGACTATCTTCTACATCTATGGCCAATTTCAGGGAGATTCCTGTAGCTGTTCTGGAGATACCTTCTAACAAACATCCATCCATTCACCAAAACATTCGCATTAAGATTACTAGAAAATTCATTTCTTTTCTTTTTTGTAAGTAAAAGTCTGACATGTTAGCAATGTTATTAAATGATCGTGTGTCAGTCTCAAGTCGCGAGACATCTGAGCTATTGGATTCCTGCTGTGACGGAATCGTGTTACTACGTATTATACGTGACTTGTGTACTTTGAAGTTAATCACATCTGTACTATGTATTACTTTTAATTGTATTTATACAAAGACATTTATCAAACGTTATTTAGATCAGACACAAGTGGGATTTAATTATGCTATTGTGCCAATCTTTATATATATAATTCTTCTGTGAGTGTGTATGTCACTGAACTTCTCTCAAACGACTGGACCGATTTTGATGAATTTTTTTGTGTGTGTTCAAGGGGATCTGGGGATGGTTTAGATTCACAATTTTGTCGGCTGGACAAGAAATTTTCAAATTAAAGACGTGTAGACAGGACAACGTCTGTCGGGTCCGCTAGTGTATACATATAGAGCTATGAATATTACTTTAAAAGTAATGGTCGCACATACAGCTCATTGATAAAAGATGATCAGATTGAAATTCCGTTTCTTAAGTAACTTGGTAAAACAATAAAATAATATAAATAATTGTATTTGTTATTTCTTTGTGTATTCGCGAATTTCAGTTACATCAGACCAATTAAGAAGTCTGAACGCAGTCTGAGTTTATTATTATACCGCGCGGCCGTGTCCCGCTTTTGTCTCTATCCGTGTCTATTCCGGTGCTCGCTCGTGATACTCGACGAGGCTGCGGTGCGGCGACGCCTTGAGAGCACTCTGTCGCGAATTTTCTTGCCGTCTAACCTCACCTGGGTGCGGATTACTCGCGCATTTATGACTTTTGGTAGAGTAAAAGGATATTGCGTTTGCGTTTCGAGGATTGCACAGCGGTGAGGCGAAACAACATAGCTTTGTGAAGACCCAGCGTCGCGGACGATAGCTACTATGAGTTTAGAAGTTTAGATAAAAAGGAAGATTAAATGTTTACTCATAACCTAAATTAAAAAGTATTCACATTCTGTTAAGAATGTAACGGGTAAACAAATATGCTTACACCTGTTGTATGTTCTTTATTGGATGAGTGTTTAATCATAAGGATTTAGTTATAAGCGATGATCCACGTCCGTTCAAACAGACTGCCGTTTCTATAATCCTAGTGATTACCCTTGCTATCGATCGATCGGCACACCTGTCTCGCTTTCTCCATATCTATATACTAACGTGTTCAAATACAAATGTTCAATCACGGGCTAGGTATCAAAAACGATACTGCATTAGTTTTAGACAGTATTAGTTAGTAAATTATTCAAACTTTCGTGAGATATAGACATTAGACATTATACTAAACTGATATATAAACACGGCTAAACACTCACGTATATACGTCCGGTGGCGGCACCGACTAGTTTCGAGCCCATCGGGGGCCCTTCATCAGGATGAGTGGCACTGGTATTATTTCGCGGACGCGGCCTGTCGCTCGTGAGTGAGGGGATATAAACGTCGACATTTTAGTAAGGCTAGTGTTGGGTCAATACACTGCCACATTTTCGGATTTCCTTCCTAACATTACTTAGTAGAAGAAACGAGAGTCAATGTGATATTTGCGTTGTAATGACGTGTAAGGCGGGTGGCACACGGTTAGCCTGTTTTGTAAATTCATAAAGAAGCGACACGACTCTCATATTTTTTCAAACAATGGAGCGAGAGTCAAGTGCACTTCTGTTTATTCGCGAGAAATCTGTTGGCTTCACTGCCAGAGTAGCGCTACACGAATACAAGAGACAATGCGACGTATTCTATTTTATGTAGCATGCGACTATGTAAATTTTATAGCTATTAATTTAGACTATGTAAAATGTTTGAAGCTACTGTCAAATACTAAACATGAAAAAGCAATTGATTTATTACAAATTCTGTATAAGATTTTTAATTAAAATACCTTTTTTTTCATTTCACGCGGACGGAGACGCGGGCGACAGCTAGTCTTTTTATATTTATTTGTGCAATAAACATAATAACTGTTCTCTTTGCTTGTTACAGGGTGGTTATCCGGCCAAGTTGAAGAAAGTGTTAATAGTGACAGCGCCGTTGTGGTTCAAGGCGCCCTTTCGCATATTGCGGCTATTCGTGCGGGAGAAGCTGCGCGAACGCGTACATACGGTGAGCGCGCCGCAGTTGGGCGCGCACGTACCCCGCGCCAGCCTACCTACGCAGCTCGGTGGACAGCTCGCCCCTGATCACGCTGCTTGGTGAGTAGTAGTCGAGACCTTGTGTCACCAAACCATAAAAAACGAAGGAAGCCAAGATAGTTGTGGACGCCTCAGTACGCAGACTATTTTACTGCGTTAGGTTATAATAGATTTAAATAAAAAATTCTGTCCTTAGCCTGCCTGTAGTATTATATAAACATAACACGAAGCTAGTTTCAGCGTAATTTATGAATGTCTTGCAATTTTATGTGCACAAGGGCATAGAGTAGATAAAGAAAAGGTTAGGAATTTGTAATACGATAGCTTAGAGATTGTGGAAATGGAATTTTATCAGTAATAATATAATAAATTTACTATTATTGAATTTCACGAAAATAAACTCACGGAAAATTACAATGTTCGTGGAATAGATGTTAATTGTTTAAGGAAATTGTTTGCCGCTTTGTCTAATTTCTTAGTAGAAGTCGACATTAAATTCGCTGGAATTAAGGCGCCTTTGGCATTGTTTACTAAGAAACAGTACACTTGAACTATATCGTATTACGCGGCCTCTGTTTGCGCTTCCGTTCAGATATACCTTATTTACATTTAGCGTTTCCTTCGCTTGCACGTTTCATTCTCTGACTTGCATCATTTCTGATTAAATTTTCTGTAAGTCAAATATCGTTGCGATTTCCCTCGAGACTTCCAACTTTAGCATTCAAGAATATTACTTTTGTGGTAAAATTTATTATAATTCTTATAATTTAGTGATGTGAGTATTCATTTCTTAAGGGTCTTGCAGATGTCCATTGCTTTGGTACCTACATATCATAAAGAACCCTGTTAGTTTGCGATGATATAACGATGGTGGTAGCTTATTTTTAGCTCAAATAACCCATATATATGATACGTTGTAGTGAGGTGTCATTATGTGAGGTTATCAGAGCGTGAGGCGTCGCATTGTAAGCCTCTACATCTCCTTGAAATGTACACTCATATGCAAAAAAAACAAAGGGTGACGTCATTTCGACTAGTTAAATGTAACAGAACAGAATAAGGATATCTTTGCAATCACCCTGTACATAATAAGCTGGATTAATACCGTACCGAAAATAAATCTGTCGATTTTATAGGGTACGATATTAGCTCAAATTTGGTTCTATATTTATACATCTATAAACAGTCCAACTTGATATTGAGTACCAAAGACTCATTAAAGATAGGCGAGTCATAAATGTTTTCTGCATTTCCAATTGGAAATATGTTTGAGTATCATAATTCGTAAGCTATCTAGTTTAGTAACGCAAAAGTTCGTAAGTCACGGTCCCAATTTTATAAAAATAATGTTTCGGCAATAACTAAGGTGACCTACCTTTTTATTTACTGTATCTTATATAATCTTAAGTCATTAATAGTACTTTACATTCATTTTGTTTATTTCATGCAACGAAATACTTAAAACAGTTTCAAAGCGGGTGAACAATTATATTGCAGCAACTTGTAAGTGGAACGACTAAATTCTGTTGATTTGTTTATTGTTACTCGTAGCAAGTTTTATCGTCTTTGAATAGAACTCTTATAATATAAAACTTTTTGCTCGACAAGTATTTAAATTGTATATGTTTGTATGTTATTTTCAGGCTGGAGCACTGTAGAAATTGTTATACAAATAATCTTCAGAACAACAAACTGGATGGTGTGATAGACGAATATGTGATTAGTAATTATATACCGCCGGTCAAAACGCAAAATGGTAAATATATTTCTCAACAATTATTTAAAACTAGCAGTCACCCGCGACTCTATCTGCGCGAAATAAAAAACTTAGTAGCCTGTGTGCTTAATGATTATGTTCTACATCTATGCCAAATTTCAGCGAGATCTGTTCAGCCGTTCTGGAGTAACCTTCTAACAAACATACATCCATCCACACATTCACATTTATAATATTAGTAAGATGTAACAATATTGATGTCGTAGCAGATCATACATATTGTGAGTTATGCAATTAGGACCAAAGATACTGTTGATTTAGAGTCCAAAAGAGCTGTTGCCCTAACAGCCTAAGTTTTTTTTAATAAAGTTGTATGTATTGCAGGTGTAATAGAGCACGAGGTGGCACGCGACATGACTAGCGACCGAGTGGCGCGTCTCGAGCAGCCTGACGCGATGCACATCAGCGACCCTCCCTACACGTGCGACACCGGACCGCTCAGGTCAGCACAACCCACACACTACACACAAATACATCAATACATGTACATACGCACACAAGCAAGCATGTTCTCTTTTACGCACTAACCAGTTGATCAGATGACGCTTACTTTGTTTATAAACTAGCTGTCACCCGTGACTTCGATCGCAAGGAAATTATTATTTTTTTAATAAGTAGCCTAAGTATCCTATGTCGAAATGTACCAAACAAGCGATGGCACATTGGTTTTGATTCAGTCCCTAAATAACATTCACTTTTTTTAAGAATCCGATGATTCCAACGTAAATTATCGTATTTTTGAAACGTAAATTATGTTGATCTTCAAACGTTACTTTAAAGTAACACAGAAATGAGTATTTATCAAGTTAAAAAACATAGAACAAGTCCTAAATGGAAGTATTGTGAAATGATATAGGATAGTAGGAGCCATCGAATTATGCGATACGTACTAATTGCGAGAACATTACGATTCTGTAACCTCATTCCACTAAATATCTTCTCATGCGATTTTCATCTTTTCTTGAACAATGCCTCAGAATGTTATTTACTGTTAACTATGCGTGCATTAACAATGCATTTTAACATTTCGAGAGACTGGAAATTTATTTCCCGGGGAAATAGGTCGGGAATTATAAAGCTCGCCAAACGTCCCAGATATTTGTCCGGGCAAGGCTCGACGATTTTCTCCATTCCCCAGCAACCGTGCGAAAATCCTTTCACAAAATCATCGGATTATAAATATGTTGTATACTGTTTTATACAGAAAATAACTTTTTTACTCTACTTTTATAAATATTTTTTTTTTATTTTAGTATAAAAATAAAGTCATCAAAATACACTGTTGATAAACACTTAATGTAGTTTTTTAAACACTATTTAGGTAAATAATTCCAGTTTTACAATTAAATTAATAATCTGGAAACAAAATATTCAACATTCATTTTGCAAAATTAAATAGAAGTTTATTGTTTTTTTTTTCAGACATACGCACGGTTACAATGGCGACATGAAGGGCGGTCACATACACTCTGGAGATGAGGACGAAGTTGACTTGATCAGTAAGTTTATATGTTAAAATACATTATTTCTTATATCTATGAAGAGGCATTGTTCGTTCTCTTTGAAAAAGAACAAGTTTTGTGAACAAAACCCTGTATAAGAAGTTGTAGTGTACATATTTTTTTTTGCAAAAAAACCTTGAAGTATTTGAAGAATTACCTTTTCTATCTCACTCAATAAATTGTAAAAAAATAGACTAGTATTTTAACCTGTTCCACTATATTCATTGATGAGATTACGTCACTTATACCTACATATGGACACATGGACAGGCTATAAACCTTGGTATTTTGTGCCTATTTTATTATCGCCATTTTGGCGCTGACGGTTAGGGTTGTTAGCTGTGGCGTGTATTTGTACTAATATAATAGATAGAATTAACTGTCAGTATCATCAACAGACGCGTTTAAGTTGAAACGAAGTAAAAGTTGTAATTTCAAAGCAATAACCTATCCAATTATAAAGATCATCAAGTAATGTTTCGAAATATATGACCTCCTTTCATAATTTAAAGACAGAAAAAAATATAACTCAACCATAGCCAACTAGATATTATCGTTTGACATATGCTTTTCATGTTTGTCAGGTAATGTCGTTTATTTATTTTGAATGAAATATGATTTGTGTGGTTTTGTGCTTATAACTAAATTTGTGTTTAGTCGTAAAATGAGCGATGGAAAGACCGACGTCGGTAATTACTGAATGATTACATACCTCACAAACTTAAGTCCTTAAAGTAGAGTAGTTTGCAATGTTAAAGACATCAACAACAAAATCAGTTGCACATATTAGCTAGCTCGACCAAGCAATACCACGACCACACAGAAGATAGGCGTAAAGTGCAATTCTTGCGCAATTTCTTGCCTCGCACAGCCGAGTTATGGAACTGTCTGTTCTCGGCGGTATTTTTAAACCAATACGAATTAGAGTCCTACAAGAAGCATACCATTTTCTTAAAGGTCGGCAACGCATCTGCAGTTACTCTAGTGTTGCAGATGTCCATTGGTGTCGTTGAACACCTCGGTGTTCTGCCTTTCCTTTAAACAAAGTTTTCTATCTGATGAGTGTGTGTGCCAGAGACTCAATTTTAGTCCTCTTTCCCTTTCCACGCTTTTCTTATTAGGAAAGGATGATAAGGGGAAGTGAATTTGGCGAAAGACGCATAGGAAGGGAGATGTATGTGCGTCTGCTTGTTCGTTGATGAAAGGTTAGGCAACGCATCTGCAAAAGAAGTAGGCAGCAATCGTATCGTCATTTCGGCGAATTTAGCTCGCCTCTCGCTTTTTTGACGCCTTATGATAAAATTTAGTTTAGTTCTAGCTGTTTTAAAACATCTCAAAACAAATTTTGGCTAATATTTTTTTTAGATTAATTTGTTATAAGGATTAATATTATCCTTAACTTGACTTTAACGTTTTGTATACAATGAAGTTAATTTAACAATGCACTTTGAAACTGAACGGGGCTTAAACTTAATTAAAGTTTTCTAAATTGTTTTCATCGGGAGAGCTACAAGATACAAACAAGAAGAAGGCAAACTCTTATCCGTGTTCTATTTTATAAAATCACTTTATAAAGACTACTTTAGTAGTTTAGTTACTAATTTTAAATTTCTCTTGAAAATTTGAATGAATCAAGGAAAAAAGCAAAGTTTGAATTGATGTAATCTTATTAATATTATGAATGTTTAAATATCGCTAGAATAAATGGTGGTCAGGTCAGGCTTGTAACTTTTATCCAATGACTATCCTAGACATTTTCGCATGAGACTTGGCAGTCAACTCTTCTTGATATATTTTATAGGTCATTTGAAATATTTTGGTGGCTCGGTATAAACCACGTTTATACGGGTATGTGTTTGTGCGTGCAGCTCGCGGCACGTGGTCGTCGGGCGAGGCGTCGCCGGGTCTGTCGGACGAGGAGTGCGCGGGCGGGGGCGCGGGCGAGAGCGCGGGCGCGCTGCTGGCCCGCCTGCGCTCGCTCGGCCGCCGCGGACTTGTCGCCGAGTACGAGGAAATACGCGCGCGTCCGCCGCAGGGCACCTTCCATCACGCCAAGTTAGTATGCTGTTAATAATATTTCCCTTGTGTAGTGCTCATGTTCATTACGTGGGGCTTTGGATATTCGATTGAATAAGCATTTACTGAACTGGAGACCACCTTTCATAACATCACCACTTAACATCAAATGAGATCGTGGTCTAAATGTACTAGGATAGTGATTTCATTTTGTTTTCCAGAACTAGCAATTTCTGGAATAATGTCGCGCAGTTTTTAAATAAATAAACTTGAGTGTTCCAACCCACCAAAAAAAAGTTACTTAGGTAGTCTGAATATGTAAAAAAAAATAAACGAAATCAACCGAGGCTTTCCGGTGTTGAACTGCTAAAAACTCGTGGTATAAATGGTTTCACATAACTTGGCAGGTCTTCACTTCTTGCGAGTTGATATCCAGAACACAATTTTAGGAGTAGTGGGGCGCAGCTGGATATAATTATCATGGGTTGCCAAGATATTTGAGAAGAGTTATACCTTGTTAAATACGAAACATATTACTCCTGTATGGTCTGCCTGCAGTCAATGCACTTGAATTGTTTGTTAAATATTTGTGGTACAATTTCTAGATTGCCAAGTAATCTATCAAAGAACCGGTACACGGACGTGCTGTGCTACGATCACTCGCGCGTGCTGCTGTCCCAGATAGACCCCGAGGATCCCACCACTGACTACATCAACGCCAACTACGTGGACGGTTACAAGCAGAAGAATGCATTCATATGTACACAAGGTCAGTAATAACTAAGTTACAACAAAAAAAGACCATTATTGAAGTTATAGTGACAGGAAATCTCGTAGAAGACGTAAGAAATGAAGGTATTTTATACTTTTGCGTTCGAGCCTTTCGTAAGGAGATTGCTGTCTTTCCATTGCTATCTCAACCTTTCCCCTACTTGTTTGTCTGTCTTAATATATGCTTGCAATGCATACATTATCGATCCATTCTGGGCTCTACACCTACGGTCAATTTTCTAAGTAAGTTTGAATGTACGGTGCGGTGTTGCAGGTCCACTGCCGAAGACGTACAGCGACTTCTGGCGCATGGTGTGGGAGCAGGGTTGCCTGGCGGTGGTGATGACGACGCGCGCGGTGGAGCGCGGCCGCGTCAAGTGCGGACAGTACTGGCCGGCGGCGGCGGGCGCGCGCGCTGTGCACCCGCCCTTCGCACTGCTCACTGAGGCCGTCGATGTTGAAGATGACTACATCATATCGCATCTCGTCCTCACCGATTTAAGGGTAACTATTGGATCTCTAGGTTAAACTAAGCCATGAGTGTTTACACGTATTTACTGTTTTCAATCCTTCAATATTCATATACGTTATAAGTAAATAAATCATTTAGAGGATTTTATATCGTCCCAATTTAATCGTAAGACACTCGATAACCTAAATAAAAAGGAGATATATCATAAAGAACGTAAAGTAATTAATTAAATTTCAAAATGTTGACAAGATAAAAGACAATGTGTGGTGCGTGTTATAAAATGTAATAATTGTTTGTACAGAGTGAGATGTCGCGGCGCGTGTGGCACGGTCAGTACGTGCGCTGGCCGGACTACGGCGTGCCGGGCGGCGGGCGCGCTCAGCCAGTGCTGCGCTTCCTGCAGCTCGTGCGCCGCGCACAACGCACCGCGCTCGCTGAGTACGTACACGCACTCGTACACGTATACGTGTGCGTGTACGTGTACGTGCATGCACACGTTTACGGACGCATACACACACATAATATTTATAGTAGAATTTGATGGAAATGTAAACTTCCAACAAGCCTATATGACAAATTACAACAATATAACTCACGCCCGTAACCGAGAAGGATAGGCAGAGACCACTAACTTCCATTTGGCCCGGTCCAGACATACCTCTCTCGCTTCTACACTCATTCATCAAGTCAATCGAGTATTTTATCAATCAAGACTGTCTGGAATTATCACTAGTATGTATGTTGGATATTAATACATGATGTATTTGTTTCCAGTTTAGGAGACGCGTGGGCCGGTCATAGTCGAGGACCTCCCATAGTTGTGCATTGCTCCGCCGGAATTGGGAGGACTGGTTAGTAGATGCCACTTATTTTTTTTAATGCTTTAATATAACAATAACTCCGCTTTATAATCACGCAACACCGTGACTAGGCCACAAGAGTAGTCCCCTAAATTAATTTAAGCGAACATATATATGTCAACATGTTATTATTGTTACTAACTACTTACTGCTACTACCAACTTCCAAAAAAAAACAAGCGGTAAAAACAGACGGTTAAAATTCACATTAAGTGGGAAATACTGGTTCAATAGTCGTTACAAACTTCCAGATAGCTATTGATATGAATTTATTTAATTAGATGATATATATTAAAAGGTGTTTTTGTATATTAGGTACGTTCATAACACTGGACGTGTGCACGTCGCGCCTGTCGGCGGAGGGCGTGGCCGACGTGCGCGGCACGGTGGAGCGCGTGCGAGCTCAGCGCGCTCACTCCATACAGATGCCCGACCAGTACGTCTTCTGCCATCTCGCCCTCCTCGAGTATGCGGTGAGTCTACCTACTGCATAAATAAAAAAATATGGTCGCAATAGTATAAAAGAAAAATAATACTAAAAAGATTTATTACACCACCTAAAGTTATTTACCAGTCGGTAAGGGTGTGTGGAATTTGTATGACAAATTCCCAGTAACCAATAAACAAGTGTGAGCATACATTGATTAAATTTTCCATGTTTTCAGGTAATGCACGGGTATTTAGAGTCGGCGGACTTGAACGGCTTCGATGATGATAACGAAGATGAATCTGAATGAAGATTGGCTCGCCCCGCCTGCACCGTGCTCTAGTGCGGCTCAACGCCGGTGCACACCGGCTCTCAGCGGTCCATACCGGCCATTATCGCTCCATACTGGCCTACAAATCGGCCCCCAACCGGTACGAACCGGTTGAAACCGATCGACACTGGGCCGCACCGGCCCGCACCGGCCCGCACGTGCGACGGACGCAGCCGACCCGACGCCGGCTCCACTCTCTAGCCTCTACTTGTCCAGAACCGATTTAATCCGGCTTCTTCTAGTATTAAGTCACTACATATACATATAGATGTAAAACGTTCCTGTAGTCTACATAAGAACTGAAATTTGCATTGATTTTGTTACTTTTATTTATTTCGCATGACATAAAATGTAGCCAAAAAAACATGTATCCTTATTTATTTTCATTTATTTATGTAATAAAGTATGACTGTATGGTTATCATTACGTTTTATCTAAACGCATAAATATACACAAATTATCGAGGTGCTGGTAGAATAAAATTCATTTGTACTACTCGTTTTGGATTTGTGGAATGTCATTTTTATATCACTTATTTTCAATTTAACACTAAATCTTTAGATAATGTTATAATTATGAATATTTATACGGATAGACTGAATATTGTTAACTGTTTGGTCGAAAATTACTAGCGGCATGGATTACTTTTTACAAACTTTGACATAGGTTATGTATAATACAGAGAACGGCAAACACACTAAGAAATAAATAACGCATGTATAAAATAATTAATACTAAAAATTAAAGCAATAGCGAAAATGTACAAATCATATTGACATGTAATACGCAGTATGCAAATCGGCTTTTAGAAAGAGACAAAAATATCGGCTATGTAGAGCGTTATCTCTCTCGTACAACCAGTAATCGACTTACTATGTATGACAGGGATAACGCTATACAAATCCGAAAATGACGTTATCTCTCACACAGGTAGTATAAATGATTTGATAATGTGTGCGACAGAGATAGCGCTATACAAATCCGAATGTAACGTTATCTCTTTCATACGTTGGTAGAAGAAATGACTTAATGCTTTGTGCAACAGAGATAGCACTATACACATCTGCAAGTAATGTTATCTCTCTTTCACATAGGTAATGTGATTTACTGCTTTGTGCGATAGAGACGGCGCACTATGAAGTTGAAATTGTCGGTTTGTCTCTTTCTAATGGTCGATTTGCTTAACTTAAATGTGATTGTACGCTGCAGTTGATATATATTTAAATAAATCAATAGGGAATGTGTATAAAGTATTAAATAGTAAAGTGTTAGACTCGAGTTAATATAGATTTTGTATTGTTATTTGGTATGAACATATTTCTCTTTAGTCTTTTTTTAATTCGTATGAATTTTCTTTACTTGCATTATTTTCAATGAAATGAGACATGTGTTTATAAAGTTTACATTGATTTGATAAAACTATCAATTTTTGTATATCAAAATGGTTGCCGTAATTCACAAGTTTATTTCACATGAAATAATATGATTTCATATAATTTTAACAATATGACGTTGGCAATCGTATATACGTGGCCATAAAATAAAAAAGAAATATAGAGTTATATAGATATTTTTAAAAATATAATAGTATAGTCGCCGACAAAGTATACTTTGAACCGCCGTCCTAACATGCAACTGACATATCGCAAACGCATCAGCTTAGCCTTGCACTACCCCCCCCTACTGTACCCCCCAGTATTCTTATAAACTTAATGCATGCTGGCGTATAGCATGATTGCATGCTGCACGAAGTATGCTACTTACATCCCATGTATTCTTTAGCATACAAAACTGCTAGAATACTGAGCATTGTTCAATTTTATGTATTCTTACGTAAAATGCGTCATATGTGAGGTTAGAATGAATGAATGTTAGGATTGAGAATGGTTTAAAATAAAGGCCAGTGCGTTTTGAACGAATGAATAAAATTAACATTCAATTGTGAATGATTTTGGAACGAGAAATGTCAACTTGTCTGTAATAAATTGCAGTTTTCATTTAACCAAAATGGCTGACGTGAAATACCAACAGGTAAAGTTGTTGTATTTTAGAAAATATACTTTAAAATATTTTTTGCTCTGGTATAGAATTAATGAAACATTTGGATCGCTAGATGTCGCTGTCATCGATTATATATTAATATTGCAACAGGGTTATTTGTGTACATAGTCTTTTTATATATCTCTCTGAATAGTACGGCCCTTTCATAAATTCTTCGTAAAAATAGCTTTTTTTAGGAATTCCCATTTAACATACTTAAACCAATCTCCATTTAAAAGCTTCGATATTTGAAATTTTGCTTTATTTGGCAGATGTCTCATAAAATCTATTTATATTGTAATAAATTTATGAAAATTAATAAACATAAGTAAAATATATTTGTTACTTATAGTCGAATAGGTCACGCATTTACGAAGAAACCTTCCGAAATATATAAAAAAAAACAATTTTGTCGTATTTTTTTTAGGTTAAGTAAATTGTTAATCTGACGATACTGTTGATTCTTATAAATGTAAATATATTATTGAATATTTTTTCTGTTTAAAATCTAAATTATAACTCCTCCTGTGAAATATGTGTGAAATAAAAAGAAATACTTGTAATATACACAAAGGGTAGTTTCATTTTTTTTTAAAACCAAGCGGAATCCCGATGTAATCAGTAAACTACCGATTTCTGTTAAAAAAAAACGAAATGAAATTTAAATGACAGAACTTGGGGTTTACACAAAGTGCGTTTGCTTCGAAGCGATTCCATAGCGGACTTCAAAAATGTCTCGTGACTGTCGCGCGTTATTCCATACATCTTTGAATTTCGCTATTTAGTCGCTTTGAAGCGAATGTATTTTGTCTAACCCCTCAGGAAGTAAGAAAAATGGAGCTTTCGCTAATCAAACGAAACGAGAAGTGTATTGAAGGTGGCAAAAAAGAGATTGCGTTTTGTGACTTGTCATTGCTAGAATCGAAACTATGCAGTACGTATGACAGTTTTTTTTTTCGGAAACCTTAAAATTAAAAGATATTGTTTTACTAATTTTTGCTTATATAAGTTATTTAGCTCTAACCCAATGGTACTGTATCATTAAAACGGTTGTAGATTCGACCCTGAACGTATTTTTTTATCTACTCTTGAAATTAGTAGCTCACATAAAAAACTTCACATAATTTTACGGAACACTATAGGTAAGGACGCTATCGCACTACTAAAAAGATTGGGTTTGTATACATGTTAAAAATAGCTTAAGATTATAACGATAAACCGAAACTTATTTTAATTTAACTAATGACAAAAATCGAAAACTCCGATCGTAACTGAAATGCTTACCGATTTAAAAATGCATTTAAATATGTAAACAATTGAACGCGCAATTATCTTTTCAAGATACAATATTCATGTAATTATAACTTTTACAAACCTATAATTTTATTGTCAAGCACATTGTGAAGTTCACACAAATAAGTAAATGAAACTAAAAGCTACACGCCCGTAACCCAGATGGATAGGTAGAATATCTACTATTTATAAAAACTATTTCTTCGCTACTGACTCTTTCAGTAGCAATAATATATAGAATTTTTAGGTTAGAAATACAACGTAATAAATTGCATTATTATAAATGCTGCCATTATTTTATTCTTCCTGCAGACACTATTTTGAACAAATTTGAAAGATTGACGATATGCTAATAATTTTTAAATGGTATTTAGTTAACAGCTAGTCTATTAAAAGTACTGAATTCATTTTTTTCACTCAGCTACGAGCAAATAAAATATAAAGCATTTAAATTAAACACAATATTTTAATAAACACGTATGTGAATAAATTACTGCAAATGCTTGCTTTTTTCGTGTTTCAAATGTAGCCTGTTATTTTTATGCCAAGCACACCAACGAACTTCTCATGTCCCACTCTAATTAGGACCTTCAAACTACGTACGGCGTTAATTTATATTTATTAATAAAGTATTTCTTATTTTAACCTCTACTATATAAATTGTCATATTTTGTTGGTGTTGTTATTTTTTCCTATATTTTGCCACTTAACCGGTCTATAATGGTGTTAAGTTTTGAAAATGAATTTCGTCTTTCAACTGCCGCGTTACGATTCAACGGTATCCATCCATATTCATGTCGTGATAAAAAATGGTTGTTTCAGTTCATCTTTTTCAATTCCGTGTGCCTAATTGTTGTTTATTTCTTTGCTCATTCAATTGTTTATTATGATATAAACAATTGTAAATACGCGGAGGCAATTCAAAATGGATCTTTCGTAATCGTGTCTTTATCTATACCATATTATAATTATTTAGCTATACATTATCAAAGACATTTTAAAAAATACTTCGATATTGTTGATGATAATTTATCAGCAATAGAACAATATAGGAAAGAAGAAAGGCAATTGATATTAAAATATACAAAGAAGGCGAGTGATGTTTGCAAATATTGGTTTTATTCTGTTACAATTGCTACATCTTCATTTATACTAAGAGCTATGTACTTAATGATCCTGTCATATATTCAAAGAGAATTTAAATACGCTCAGATGTTCGCCATTACGTATCCGAAATGTATAGAGAACCATAGGGATAATTTTTACGTATTTTTATGCTTGTTTTCTCTTTCTTTCATTTTTGCAATTTACGCAACCATTGTCTATATTGGTTTCGATCCTTTGATATCAATATTTGTGTTACAAATTTGTGGTCAATTGGAAATTTTGAGCCATCAATTGCTGGCATTAAATGAAGTGACCGATTCAAATGAAATTATACAAAGTTTAAAAACTATCAACATTAAGTTGCAGTGTTTATATAGGTAAATATCCAGTTAAATATTTGCTTTCGACTAATAAAGGAACTGATTTTAATGTTTTTTTTTGTTATTTACAGTTTTATAGATTCTCTAAAATCAAACTTTATGATTTTATTCGAGTATCAAATTAAAGTTGCGATATTTTTGGTGCCTTTCGCTCTATTTCAAATATTTCAAGTAAGTCAATGGTATTTAATGTTAGTGCGATTAACGTTAATATTCATTTTCATATGGTAACATTTTTATTTTTGCAATACAAATATTATGCCTTCCCATCCATCCCCTCATCAGGAAAGTCCACTTCCACTACCCATCCTTTTTTATCAGAAATTTTAGTCCTCAGACTGTACTTGGAATTGCTTCCACTTGACGCCTGTCTTCTGTGTGGTCGTGGTATTTCACCGGGCGAGCCGGGCCAATTCGTGCGAAGATGTTAAAGCGGGCTCTACCACTGTTGTCTTTTTTATCTGTAACAAACAGAGAACTTGTTTGTATTTGAAATTCCATTGACACGCGACTTTTAATAACATTGTCCCTCTTTCTTCTAAGATAATGAGAGGGATAACAATATGTGTTTATACAAGTGTTTAGACAGTAGAAACCCATATATACAAAATCTTTTCTATATTTTTCAGTCGCTGTATCGTCTCGAAGTCAACACGGAGTTTATTGCTTTTCTTTTCTCCTGCACTATTCGTTTATTTTTGTCCTGTTACAACGGCAATCTTCTGTCTCTAGTGGTAAGATTTTGTATTAATATTTACTTTAATAATAGTCTTATGAAGAATAATGTCGCTTTGGATTTTACCTTATTTACTAGGTAGAGATATACGCTTTCAATTACTACGGTCGTCTAAAATTATAACTGATAATAGTATTAAAAATCTAATTGTTAAGTATTTATGTTTGTTCAAATTAATTTAATATCACTGCACAATCCACTTACATTCCATAGGTAAAATTAATCTTATTAGTTAAAATTATTATGACAAACAGACAGCAAAACTAATAAATTTATTTATTAGAAACGTTATAAATGTTTTATTCTTTCAATTTTTACTGTTTACTGTGAAGTTTCTAACCTATTATTTGATTGCAAAGCGCATTATGAATTTCTAACTACGTAATTATTGTTTAGTTATACTGTAATTTTATGTTGTATAATTTCCTCGTCATATTGTTTGTAGTACTTAATCAGTAGTTATATCGTCGTAACCTTATCCGAGAGTGGACAGGAGTTGCTAGAGACGCCCAGACAAAATACAAAAAAAAAGTCAGACGAATTAAGAACCTCCTCCTTCTTGAAGTCGGTTACAAATATGAAGAACTGATCGCCAACCTTTGTTAGTTGGAGATACTCCAAGAAGAACCTTATCAAATAGGATTAGCAATGTCTTTAACATTTGAAAGAGCTTTTTATATTTCCTGTCACGCTCTCCGGTTTAGCGGAATTCATCCAAATTTGGATCGAAATAAAATATGGCTTCTAAGATATGCATTTATCAGCATCGTATCAAGTAGCATTATATTTTTTTTTGCAAATTCAATAATCTGTTATGATATACCGAATAAAGAGTATGCAAAAGCAATTAAAAATGGATCGCTTTTGATCGTATCTTTGACTATACCGTATAAAAATATATTAGCTTTATACTATAGAGATGAATTCAGATATTGTATCGATATGGTAAATGCAGATTACGCGGGAATAAATCGACAAACAAAAGAAGAACAGTTACTAATCAAAGAATATTCCTCGAAAGGCAAAAGAGTTTGTAAACTTTATTTTTATTCAGTTGTAATGAGTGCTGGTGTATTTCCATTAAAAGCTATATATTTAATGATATTTTCTTACATTAGAGGAGAATTTAATTTAACACATATGTATGATATTACATATCCAGAAGCAATAGAAAAACAGAAAGATATATTTTATGTATATATGTGCTTGTTTTTTATATCTTTAATTTTTACAATCAATGGAAGTTGGAATTTTTTTGGATTCGATCCTTTGGTATCGATCTTTGTACTACACGTTTGTGGACAGATTGAAATATTAAGTAGAAAAATAACAGCACTGGCGAATAATAATGAAAACGAAATTATTGAAAATTTAAAAGAAATTAATAAAAAGCTGCAAGAGGTATACAAGTAAGTAATTAAAAATACAATAATTTGTAGGTTAAGTTTTCGCCACAGATAAGAAAGTAATCTACAACAGTAAAAACAGAACCAAAAATTAAAAAAAAAACTTGTGATTATTTTTTTATTTTCCAGACTTTCAAAATGTTTAAGAACAAATTTCATGGAAGTATTTGAGTTACAAATGAAAACAACAATATTTTTATCGTCGTTTACTCTTTTTCAAATTGTTCAAGTAAGTAAAGATGTATCGTCAAACAAAAGCGACGTCTTATATTCTCAGCCTGGGGCTGATTTTCAGTTTACAAATTGAATTTAGAATTTTCCGTTTACTCTTTTATTTATTGTAAAAATAGCTATCGCCCGCGACTCCGTCCGCATGGAATAAAAAAAGACTTAATTAGTTCCCAGCAATTATTCAATTTTTTCTCTCCTTTTAAACCTTCCTTAGACATCCATGAACATTTCAAGACCAAGATAAATCCGTTCAGTTGTTCTCGAGTTTTAGCGAGACTAACGAACAGCAATCGATTTTTTTATATCGATTAAAAACTTGTATGTCTCGGACACCAAGTTTTTATAATTAAACTGGTTTAATGAAAGTATTATACATATTATAGAATTTGAAACATAACCTAGCAATAAGCTTCAATTCTAGTCACTAATAAACAATGTTTGTTAACATATTATGATGTATTTTAGTCACTATCTCGTTTTGAGATCAACTTGGAATTCACAATAATGTTATTCGCCTGTACTCTACATTTCTTTATAGGATGTTACTACGGTGATTTCTTAATGCACAAGGTATTTGAAAATAATTTATACTAGCTGTCGCTCGCGATTCCGTCCGCGCGGATCTGAAAAAATTGTAGCTCCTGTGTACTTTCAAACTATGTTTTACATCTATTTCAAATTTCATTGAAATCCATGCAACCGTTCTGGAGATACCTTTTAACAAACATCTATTCATCTAAACTCTAAACATTCGCATTTATAATATTAGTTAGATATGTTAAATACCACCATCAAAAATATATCTATGGAGAGCAAGTAATAAGACCGTGTAAAAAGTAAATTTGTTATCTCTACCTAGTAAATAGCGATAATTTACTAAATGTATGTTTAAAATGTAAAATGGAATTTTTCAAAACTTGATCGTAAGTCAGTATTATTTCTAAATTGTTTTTATATATTTTGAAATCAATTTATTTTAAAGAGCATTATACTGGTAACATTTTCAGGGTGTTAAGCTCAGAGAATCAATTTACTGTTGCGGTTGGGAAAAACAGTCGAATATCAAAATAAGGAAGACCGTGTTACTTATGATGACGAGATGCAATAATCCTCCGAGTATAAGATCTGTTTTCTATCCTGTTAATCTCGAGACATTCTCTGAGGTATGAATTGATTTTATCTAGCTAAATAAGGAGTTAACTCTCTACATCTATGACAACTTTCAAACAAACATTCGCATTTATAATATTAGTAAGATATTAATTAAATTACAGTACCTGGATGACCGTGTTTAATTGTGTTTTTTCGAAATTATATTCAAGTACGAATTACTAATAAAATGATGAAATATGAATAATATTTTTCGATCTTACCGATAGAAAAAGTTAAGTTTATGTTTAAGTTCATTATCAACACGAATAAAATGACATTTTCTAAAAATGATTCCTATCTAGATCGATTCATCGCCCCCCAAACCCCCTATATACTAAATTTTATGAAAATCGTTGGAGTCGATTCCGAGAGTCTAATTATATATATACAAGAATTGCTCATTTAAAGATATAAGATAAGATATATTTAATAATTTGATGTATTTATATTCCAGGCGTGCCGGCAATCTTACGCCATATTCAATATTATGAACGCAGCTTGGTCATAACTATGTACATTTAACAATAGTAAATGAAATAATAAAACTATTTACATATGGCTATTTATATAATTAACTACAGTTAATTAGTCAAACACTATTTTTGCTAGACTTACTGAGAATTTCTGAGACCAAAATCTCCTTTTAAAACATATTGTTGTATGTGTTTTATCAAAGATGTAAAACAGGGATGTCGATATGTTTTATAGCGAGTTTTCGGTTTCAGAAACCCACGGTTAACCATCAAGCTTTTACCGCTTTAAATTAGTATGTATAACACAGTAAAAATATCTATGTTTCAGGCTAGCTACTCAAGTTGTATATTTAGTTTTTCTCACAGATTTATATTGAAAATAAACAATAACAAAATGAATATAGAACTTGCTGTATCATTCCCTCTTGAAAACCGTAAAGCTACAGAGATGACAGGTAGAGATTGAACACGTATTTACTCGTATCTGTTCACCTGTGAGGCATTCTCTGATATTCTGTATAGATTTTAACGTCTAGAGAAGGATTTTATTAAAAATTACAAAAAAAAAATAATTCTATTTCTCCTGTTTATTATAGACTAAATAAATTATGGTAAATCTATTAGGTCTGAAAAACATCGTAATTACTAAAACTTAAAAGTTCAAAAAAATCCAATTTACGTAATCCATTTTTTTATTCTTATTTAAACATTTTTTTTTCTTTAGTTAATAGCATTTTCATTAAGTTAAAGTTAAATGGAGGTAGATAATGAAAGTAATTTTAAAACATCCAAGTTTTACGCTAAGCATTCTGTCTTGTTATATCTTTGTCGAAAATTTCCAAATAATCAATTAATGAACTAATGAAAAGTTAAACGAAGCTCTTTTGTACAAGTTATCGACTTGCCGAATTCTTGAAACAACTAAAGTTTATTACTTGGCCAACTTTTTGTTCATAATTAAATTATCTTTTATAGAAGTTAATTTTACTCTGTGGAAGTGTCTCGTTTGTGATTTAATGGTGACAAATGATGTGTAAAAAACTGAGTGCTATTATTCTAAAGTTCTAGATTTTAAAGCGTGTAAAGTTTTTGGGTTTTCAGTAAGCTAATATGTAATAAATAGTTATTAGAGTACCAAATGTAACATTTTAAAATCGAATTTATAATTTTTCAAATTAGTGTCCTTTGAAACAATTCTACAACTTGTTAATAGAGGTAAGTATGTTTGGAGTTTCTTCTAATTTTACTAATATTGTAAATACGAAGATTTATGAAAATCTAAAGATTTATTTTTTTCGATATAACAGACTAACCAATTTTATTAATTGTTTAGTTAAATTAATTATTTCCGTTCCCTTTTGCGAAAAGAAATGAAGGTACCGTTCCTAAATAAATTGTTTTAGGCAGGGGTTTGGTGTAACTTCAGAAAATTACAGGCCCACCCTAGAGAATAAATAGCGAGGGTGTTTTATACAACCAAAAAACTTAAAATTGCGCCGTCTCCTTCCCTGCAATTTATTTTCCTTACTGACAAAACCTTAATTGACAAAACTCCTCTATCTTATATTAAATTACTAACGAACTTCGTTGCTGCCTGATTTTGCTTAAGTAATAAGTAGTCATCAAATAAAGGATTTGATTTAAAACCCGCAGCTGTTAGGTTTCTATTGTTAGGAAGAAAATGCGACACTGTGCCGGTGTATGAGCGCAACACTAGCCTTATTAAAATGTCAACGTTTATGTCCCCTTAATCTGACACTTGACTTGGTAACGAAAGCGCGCAATTCGCGCCAAAGGATTCTAATGATGTGTAAAATTATTAATAACTATAGCAGTAAAATTTCATTAAATAAAGTTTTGATAGACAAATCTCTCATATGCAGTATAAATATTTTTATATTGTAATGTGTTTTCTAACAAATTAGTCTAAGTGATGTTGGATATTAAAAATAGAAATAGCGAAATTGCCTAACTGTAATCGATGCACAGAAATAGCATTTTTTTTTATAGCATAAGGTGTGACAAACGAGCGAGCGGCCACCTGAAATCGCTGAAATAGCGAAGTGACCGTCGCCCATAGACATACGCAATTACATATGCGTTGCCTACCTTTAATCGCCGGAGGAGAGAATGCACAGAGAGAAAATATTTTTCCTTCCTATGCATCCTTTCATCCGGAAAGTCCACTTCCACTTCCCATCCTTTCCTTATAAGAAAAAGGATGGGAAGGGAAAGAGGACTAAATAAGGCCTCCGGGACGCACACTCATCAGACGAAACGCGGAATTGCTTCCACTTGATGCCTGTCTTCTGTGTGGTCGTGGTATTTCACCGGGCGAGCCGGGCCAATTCGTGCGAAGATGTTAAAGCGGACTCTACCACTGTTAAGCTCTAACATATTTCCCCTCCTCGGCAAATTCGACTTGTCTATAACAATATTTCCCAATAAGAAAAAAGTGGGAAGGAAAGTAGAGGAGTGGACTAAATGCGGGTTCTACCAATGTTAAATCTACATGAAATATACTAGAAAGTTCTGTCTTAATAGTTTGCTATTCATATTTAAAAATATACATCCCAATGTAATCTCCACGGAAAGTCGCTTCTCAATTACACCTACTTCCTCGTTCGTGATAATTTATTACAAACAAGGAACCTGATTTGAATTTCATCTACATAATAAATAACAATTGTTTTTCAATTTCTGTTGTTTAATTTAAGTTTGAATGTTGATGTTTATATTTTACGATAGAATAACAAAAAAGGTTATATGCAAATATTAAGTGGGTGAGGGTAATCAGGGAATTAGGATATGCTTGGTTTTATTTTTTTTAGACACGGTTCTTTAAGGTTACATTTTTCAATTTCAACCTTCTTGGTACACGATTTGATAATAAAAAAGAAATTGATATGTAAGTCAAGTTAATATTTATGGAGTATTTTATAGTTATAACTAATGTTAAAGTAAGAGAGTTGCTCTAACGAAAACTTGAGCTACATTTTTAATTAACTCCGGTAACATAACATACATTTTTGTTCCTATTTTGATGTTGCTGTTGAGTTCACAAACTTTGTTTTTTTTTCTATGTACATCTGGAGCGTATTTTTTAAATTGTAAATTGTAAAGCTTCGTAAATGAAATATGTATTTTTATGAAGTTAAAATTCTTTCATGAAACCACATCGCTCCAGTAGTTAGTCGAACTAAAGGAATATTTTAAATGTATATAATGCATTACACGAAACATTTTGATAAATTAACGATTTTTTCCCTAATTATCAATCGGAAATAATTTAATGTTTTATGTTAAAAATAAATATATATATATTCTTAGAAATCTCAAGGAATCTCATGGAATTTGAATTTTAAACTTTTCTTAATTCAAAAATTAAATTGATTATAGTTGAATTTTGCCAGTATCAAGCATCACGATTCTACGAAATAGGTATCATTTTGAATACAGAATTAAGGCTTAGGATTTCGATTTAGGATTTCGATGTAATACAGTTTCCATATGTAGCAGAGGTGAATTATTTCCCCTCGCCATGCACCGGATATCGGCGCCGCATTGCAATGCTTCTCTGATCGATTCGTAACCTACGTCGTCGTTCACGACAGGCTTTCACACTTCAAAGATTATACTTTTATCTAAAATACACAAATATATATGTTCAAATCTTCATATAACTACTCTCACTTACATATATCATCATCAGCTCATATACATCCCCAACGAGGGGCTCGGAACCTACCCTAAGTTAGGGGTGATTAGGCCATAGTCAACAACGCTGGCTCTGTCCAGGTTGGTTGACTTCACACATATCTTTGAATTTCTTCTCAGATATGTGAAGGTTCCATCACGATGTTTTCATTCACCGTAACAACGTCGGATAAATGTACATATGTAAGTCACAAATCGAAAAACACAAGTACATGGCGCGATTCGAACCAAGGACCTGCAGATTGCAAGTCAAGTGCTTAATATACCTACTTACATATATAAAAGTGTCTATTTTGTTCATAAAGATAAGGTCAAAGATGGTTTATATCTGGAAAATATCCTTGATTTGAAATATGACAATATTTCCGCTTGAACATTTGGATTTAGATATACCATATTGTTATCTGCCAAAGAGAATCAAAGAATTAAAAATGCCATGAAAGAAAATAAGATAATACGTGAGAAAAATAATAGCTATTTTCAGAATATCGTCGTAGAGACTAGTTTAGGTAACTTTTGAATAATTTATAAATTAAAATCTCAGCATGTTGGTATTAATATGTCTTAATAAAGTAACAAAAGCCGCTACAACAGGCTTCTTTTATGAAATTTTTCGTCGGCATCTCTCCGCGCGGCGTATCAAATTAATATTCATAAAGATTCCCCACATAGCCCATACGTAGCTTTGAGTACACCGTTATTGAAAATAATTCTAGCGCACGTTATTAAACTTATATTAAGCTCTAAAAATATCCTTTACCCAGTGAACATTAATATAGGAATCTACACAAGTTCTTAAAGATTTACCGCTCGGTGTATTCCTCAAAGTGAAGACTAGTAATATGGAGGATTTTAGTCTCTTTTTTACTCACGATTAGAGATATTAGAGACTAGTTCCCTATGCGAACACTTACCGTGGATTTCTTATACCAAAATCTTCGTTAAAACATGTTGCTGTTTTGTCAAAGAAAATAACAAGGATGACGATATATTTTATATAGATATTTCGGTCTCAAAAACCCACGCTCAGAGACGTCAAGTTCGATAGTTGTTGCTGACATCGGTTGAACTATACTTAAGTTAAGTAGTTTTGGTCTAAAGATTTTCATAATGTTTTTAGTTAAGTCGATCGTTTAGTGACATGACCATGTTATGTGGTCATTTCATTGGGTCCGTCTTAACTAATTTTGAAGAGTGGAGTTCAATTCGTAGTTTTTCACAGCATTTTATTGACATCACAGGAGTATAATGTAGCGACGTGTCCTTGTTTTTTTATAACAGTGATAGAGCCCGTTTTAACAACTTCGCACGAATTGGC